TTTAAATTTTTTTTCCGCGTCGATTTATTTACATTTTTTTATTAAAAAAAAATAATAATAATGATAATAATAATTTTAAGGATTCAAAAAGTTTTTCTTCCCCCTCTCTTTTTTCCCTTTTTCCCTTTGTTTTTTAATTTCGCGCGTAAACGAAAAATAAAATAATAATAATAATAATAATAAACCTTTTTTTTTAATTTTAATTATTATGCAAATAAATAAAATAATTTTCTTTTTTCTTTTTTTACTTTGATAAAAAAAAAAAAAAATTCAAATGAAGATGCGTGGCATGTAATAATGATAATAATAATAATAATAATAATAATAATAATAATAATAATAGTATATATACGTAAATATACGCATTTATTAAATTGTATATAATTAAATGTAATAAAACTAACGACGAAAAAAAGGAAAAAAAGGAAAAACAGGGAAAAAAAGGAAAAAAAAAAATTTTTTCCCCCTTCTTCCCTTTTTTTTCTAATGAGTAATTTATATATATATATATATATATATATATATATTATTTCAACACTTTTTCTTTCTTTCCTTTTTTTTTTCTATCTCTTTTTATTTAGTGAGTGAAAGAGGGAGAGAAAGAGAGAACCGAATAAAAAAAAAAAACAGAAAAAAAAAAAATTAAAGGTAAGCAGACAGAAAATTCGAGTCGGTTTAAATAAAAAAAAAAAAAAGAAAAAAAAATGAGAGAGAGAGAGAGAGAGAGAGGAGGGAGAGAGGGAGAGAAAGAAAAAGAGAGGGGGAGAGAGAGAGAGAAGAAAAATTAACTCGTTTTTAATGCCCAAGTGAATTTATACAAAAAAAAAAAAAAAAAGAAAGAATTTTTTTTTTTAAGCAAACGTTAATGAATATTAAAAAGAAAAAAAAAATTTTTTTAAATACCCAAAGGATATTTTTTTTCCTTTTTTTCCCCTCTTCCCCTCCTCATTCCCTTTCTCCCTTACTCTATTTCCCCTCCCCCCAAAAACAAAAAAAAAATGATGAAAAAATTATTAACGATAAAAATAACGACCGCCATTTTTTTTTTTTAAACCGAGTCAGTATACACACGTACCGAGAACGATTACATAATAAAAACAATAACAATAAACAAGAAAAATTCACATTCATTACTACCAACCGTTTCATCAAAAGGGAAAAAATAAAAAATAAAAATAAACAAAATAAATAAATAAATCATAGAGTAATTAAACGTAACGTCGTACTTTGGTGAAATTTCACCGTGTGTTACCATGGAAACGGCAACACTGCCGCGATACATAAAATACAATTATTATTTATTAAATTTCTTTTTTTTTTTTGTAACTTTCTCTCTCTTTCTATCTCTCTCTCTCTCACTCTGTCACTCTCTATAAATTAATAAATTTTAAAATGATTAATAATAATAATAATAATAATAATAATTTGATTAAAAAAAATTAAAACGACAAAAAAAAAAAAAAAGAAAATCTGTCAGTCATTTATGCAAAAAAAAAAAAAAATCAGAGTCATAGCATAATTCATGTCCGCCATTTTGTTTTCTCATTTTCTTTCCGCCAATTTCTTTCCCTCCTTTTTTTTCCTAAGATTAAATTTATTTTTATTCGAAAACATTAAATTAAATTTTTTTTTTTTTTATAACGTAAAATAAAATGATGATTTCAAAAAAAAAAAAAAAAAAAAATTAAATATGGCGGACAATAACCTTTTAAATAAAATTAAATTAAAAAAAAAAAAAAAAATTAAACGTTAAATGTTTCGTAATACGTAAATAAAATAATAATTATTATTATTATAATTTAATATCGTGTATAATTATTATTATTTAAATTCGTCGTCGTTTGTTGTTTGTCGTTTGTCGTTGTTGCCCGTTAACATGTCGCATCCCTTCGCATTCCTCTCTCTCTTTCTCTCTCTCTTCTCCGTTTTTTTTTTATTTCACGTCACGAACTTCCGGTCGGGATATATATATATATATATATATATATATTTTAAAACGTAACACAATGCCAGCTATTTGCCACCCCCCCCCCCCACATCCCCCCCACGTTCATCGTTCCAAATTTTTCCCATTTTCAATTTTAATTTCACTTTTTTTTTTTTTCCGTCCCTTCCAAATGAATTAAAAGGAAAAAAAAAAAAGGAAAATGGAAAAAGGTCGATTTGACAATTTGAAAACGGTCCAATTTTCTTTCGAGGTTTTTTTTTTTTTTGTCGTCGTAATACTTTGTCGCAAAAATAAAAATAATTGCGTGGGATGACCTCGAATAAAAAAAAAAAAAAAAATTTTTTTTTCAAGTGTCGCACTTTTCAATTTACATCTGCCACGACGATTTTTCTTTTCTTCTTTGAATTCTTTCCTCTTATTCTTATTGTTGTTGTTGTTTCCTTTTAAAGATTTATTATTAAATTTTATGTTATCGTGTCGTCTTTATTCTCTTGTTTTCTTTTTTCTTTCTTGTCCATTCCCCTATTTCCGGTTTTGAATTCCACTTTCATAATATATTTTTTTATTTTTTATTTTTAAATTTCCACTCGCGTATTTTAAAGACAAACAATTTATCTTAATTTACAACAGCATCCATTATCAGTTCCAATTACTGATTATCAATGACAACAAAATCTTTTTTCTTCTGCTTCTTCTTCTTTTTTTTTTCACGTAGACTAATTTCTATCGAAAGAAAGAAAGAAAAAGATTTTCCGAAAGTTTTCTTTTTTTTTTTTTTTTCATCTCCTTTATTTTTCCTCATCTGCATTTCCCGAACGTTTTTCCCTTTTTTTTCCCTTTTTTTCCTCGTAAACCCGGTTAAATTTAAATTATTTTTCGACACAAATCCTCCTCCTCCTCGTCCCCCCTCTCCTCCCCTCCTCACGAATAAATCGATAATTTTTATCATTATTATTATTATTATTACGTTTTTGACGGTTTAGGGTCAAATAATATACGTAGTTTAAAGGAAAAGGACAAAAAAAATGTCGGGATTCTGTCTCTTTTTTTTCGGGGGGCGGGTGGGAGTGGGATTCGGGGAAAAGTGTCGCATAATCACACAAACAGACACAAGGAACAAAACAATTTTAACGTCCTATATTTATTTATTAATAATATACTCTTCTTCTCGTTTGTCGGAATTTGACAAATTTTTCAAATTCAATTTCAAAACAATTTCGCAGGCGACCATTTTGTCTTTCCCTTGTCATTTTCATAACAAACAAACAAAATTCCCGTTTTTTTTTTTCAAAAGAAAAAAAAAATCTCTATCGCGTGTGAAAAAATCGTTCGATATATCGATACATCGATCGATACAACATAATCCGAGGATGGAAAGCGGGAAGGGGTAAAGGGGAAAGTGAAAAATGTATTGAAATTTCATTTTTTTTTGTTGTCGTTGTCGTTGTCCTTGTTGTTGTTGTTGTTGTTGTTTTTTTGCCGGGAAAATTTTAAAAAGTTTTTAATTTAAATCTTTTTAAAAAAAAAGTTTTTTTTTTCCCCCCTCCCAAAGTTTTTAAAATAATTCGAATGAAGCGAAAAAAAAAGAAAAAAAAAAATTATAAAATGGAGGAAAATAAAATGGAGTCTTTCAAGTTTTTCCCCCCCTCCCTCTCCCTCCCTACTTCTTGTTTCTTTTCTCTAAAAAAAAAAAAAAATTTTTCAAATCGAAAAAGAAAATTATACGTAACTACGAATAATAATAATAATAATAAACGTTGCAAAAGGTTTTTTCTTTCCGAAATAATGATAATAATTCAAATTATTATTTTACTGTAATAAACTCTTTCGAAAGTTTTTTGTTTTTTTTTTTAATTGCAACAAACGATGATGATGATTTGGCAACGTTTAAAAATTAAACCTAAACGTTCAATGATAATGATAATATTAATTAATTTCGTTTCAGGTAAAGAATAAAAAAGGGAGAGAAAGAGAGAGAAAAAACAAGAATAATAAGGGAGGCAATAAATGATTATGACGTCATTATTATCGTAAAACTCGCGATAAAAACAATAAAAAAAAAAAAAGGAAAATAATCAACAAAGGAAAACTTGAAATTGTCTCGTTTGTTTTTTTTTACTCATTTGAAATAAAAGGAAGGAAAAAAAAGGAAAAAACGAAAACGAAACAAAATATATAAAAAGAAAAAAAAGAAGAAAAACGAGAAAAATCTTGGAAAAATAGAAAAGGAAAAAAATGAATTTTTGCGAAAAAGTTAAAAAAAAATTAAATTATTTAAACAATAAGTTTGTTTGCCCAAGGATGATGATAAACATTAACGAAAGCAAAAAAAAATTTTCCCCGTCACGGTTTTACTTACAGTAAATGCGGAGAAAAACAAAAAAAAAAAAAAAAAGAAAAGAAAAGAAAAAGTTTCCTGGAAAAAGTCAAAAGTCACGCTTACAGGTAATTAAATTCCGGTTTTTTTTCTCCTTTTTCTTCTGCTGCGGTTTGCTAGCTTTCCCCCCCCCCACTTCCCCCCTCTTTTTTTTCACCCAACTCGTTTTTTAACGAACGAACGAAAGTACGAATCGTGACGTTAAACAAACTACGTATGACTTAATAATAATAAAATTTTTCCCTTTACGCGAAACGATCCGTTTCCCTTTCCTTTTATGGTGTTTCTATTGACACGTGCAAAATGAACAAACAACCTCTTAAGAATTTATTTCCGGTCATTTAATGTTTTCGTTTTCTTTTCATATTGATTCATTTAATTTAACAGGCATCAGTTTGTTATCATCATCGCTCGCTATCGTCGCCATTACAACAACAACAACAACAACAACAACCGCTAATAATAAAATTATTATTATTATCATAGTAATGTGTTTTTCTTTTTTTTTTAATTTTTTGTTCGGTGAATTAGTATTATTATTATTACAATAATGTTTATGATGATGTGATGATGATGATGATGATGATTTGAAAAATTGTGAAATTAACAAAGTGAATATAATTGAATAATTTAAATAAATAAAAAGTTAATAGAAAAAAAAAAAAAAGGACAGAAATGGGATGTGCAAAAAGTACGCAAAATGGAGGAAGAGGAGGAGGAGGCGGGAGCGGAGATTTAAAAGGAGATGAAAAACCGCCGCCACAAACGGATCCGAGATTACCACTCACGGCAAAACAAAAATACAATTTGGTAGCTTCCTGGAAGGGAATATCCAGAGCTATGGAACCCACGGGTATCACAATGTTCATAAAGTAAGTACGATTCCCTCATATTTTTCCCTTTTTTTTTTAAATTAAACAATCGCGAGCAAACAAACAAACGAAAAAAAATTTTTTTTAACGTTATTAAAATGACTTACCCATGTGGAAAACGTAGAAGCAGAAGCGAAAGCAGAAGAAAAAAAAACAAAGGGCGGGAAATACGAATCCGTTCCGAAATCTCTGAAAAAAAAAAAAAAATGATGAAAATTCAAAATGACGTCCGTACGAACTTGAAAAAAAAAAAACTTAATAATAAATAAATCCAATAACAAATAAATAAATAAATAAATTCGAGATTAAAGATTATTCTTTTTGTTTTTTTGCTGTTGTTTTTATTATTATTATTCTGTTGTTGTTGTTGTTGTTGTCGTTGTGGTTGTTGTTTGTCGTCGTCGACGTTCGAGATAATAACGAAAAAAAATCCCATTAATATAAATTTTAATCGAAATATTTTTTTTTCTTTTTTCTTTTTTTCGGGGGGAGGGAGGGAGGGAGAGGGGGGGGGAAATGTTTCGGTGATGATAATAATAATAATAATGATAAAAAAAAATTTAACGGTCGAAATAATTTCCGCGTGCGTGCGTGCGTGCGTGCGTGCGTTTGCTCGATCAAATTCGTTTCATTTTTGCTCTCGTTAAACATTTTGCTCCTTTTATTATCTACTTATCTTATTATCATCATTATTATTATTAAATTTGACCGTTGTAAAGAAAAAAATTCAAGTGAGCAATTATTTAAATTTATTATTATTATTATTATTACAAAGGAAGCAAAAGAAATTTTTTCCTTCGTTTGTTTGTTTGTTTGTTTGTTGGTTATTATCACTTTGGCTCTGTTAAATTTTTTTCTTATTTTTTTTTTTCCTTTGAGGTCATCGACATTAAAAGAGGTTAAACTGTTTTGTTTTGATTTCTTTTTTCCCATCCTATCCCTTCCCAACCCTTCCCTTCCCTTCCCTCGATCCGTCGGATCCGCGCTGCAGGTTATTATCATTATCATTACGTAATAAAATTTTGTTTTTAAATATTATTATTATTATTATTTCTTTTTAAAAGCAAACGAAAACAAAACTAAAAAAAATAAAAATAAAACGAAATATTTTAACAACTGTCGAAAAAAAAAAAAAACATTTAGATGAGAAATAATAATAATAATAATAACAATAATAATGATAATAATAATAATGATGATGATAATAATAATAATAATTTTTGTTTTAAATCATTTAAAAATTAAAAATATAAATCATTTAAAACGATTCACACAAAAAAATTATCATAAACCATATTTCAAATTCATTCATTTTCCAAACACAAACAAAAAATATTATTATTATTATCATCATCATCATCATCATTCATAATATTTCTACCGGCCATTTTGTTTTCATAACGCGATTTGATTTTTTAATTATTGACCGAATCTCACTTTTTTTATTATTTAGTTGACGTCATCATTTTTTTTCCTCTTTTCGTTCATCGAAAACCGATGAAAAAATATTATTATTATCATTATTATTATTATTTGGGTCTAACACGTTGATTTACGTTGGAAATAAAAAAAAAATTTTTCTTACGAAACGTTTTTCAAGTGACGTAAACGACGACCAAATTAAATACGAGAAAAAAAAAGGTACGTGAGACGATCAACGATAAATCAATCGATAAACGAAGAATCGGATACAAATAATAATAATAATAATAATAATAATAATAATAATAATAATAATAATATAACGTCCGTTCGTCTGTGAATAAAAGCCAAATGGCATCCTGCCATTTTTATTAAAAATAAAATATAAATAAAATAAATAGAAAAATATTAATGTAAAAAAAAAAAAAAAAAAAAAAACTCGTGACGACGAACATGACGACGATGATGATGATGATGATAATAATAATAAAACCTGAAAAAAAAATTTTTTCTAATGGATATTTAAAAACGAAAGGGAAACACAAAACGAATTCTAATAACAACAACAACAACTGGGCGGAGCGGAAAGGGGGGGGCGGAACGGGGGGCGGAAAGGGTTATTATATAGGGGCGGTGGGAGGATGAGAGGGGGAGGAGGGGAAAAAGGGAAATTAGAAAAGCTTTTGTAAGTTTGTAAAATTAATTTTCACTCGAATCAAAGTTTAATTTTTTTTTTTCATTGGTTTTGTTAATGGGCGGAGAGGAAAAAAAAACAAAAAAAAAAAAAAAATTATAAACAAATCGATGAAATTAGAAAACTATTTTGTTTTTACCCTACCCCTCCCCTCCCCCCGATTTCCCTTCCCTTCCCCACCTTCTTATCCTTCTCCTTCCCCCCACCGTTTTATTATTTAAAAAAATTTTTTTTTTTTTTTACAATTTAAAATTCTCCAAATCATTTCAAAACTAAAAAAAAGGAGGGGAGGGGGGAGGGGGAGGAAAAGAAAACTTTAGAAAATTTCCATGCGTGTTATCACGACGAATGATGACGACAATGTGATAAGAAATTTAAAAAAAAAAAAAAATTTTTATTTTACAAAACCACCGTAAACTTTTTTTTTTTTTTTTTTTTTTTTTTTTACTCAAACAAACAAACAAACAAACCGACAAGCAAACATTTTTTAACTAAAACTTTTGAGTTTGTTTAAATTTGTAAACAAACAAAATACGAATTCGGTAGTTGAAAAACAACAACAACAACAAGACGAATTTTCCCGTCGTGGAAATAGAAAAGAAAAAAAAAAACAAACAAACAAAAAACTCTTTAAAGTTACCAAAAACGTTTTTTGGTCGGATGGTTGGTTTTTTTAATTTTTAAACTACGACACAGCCTTCTACTAATAAAATTACGAAAAGACACGACGAACAACCAAAAAAAAAAAAAAAAAAAAAAAAACTAAATGTTCTTTTTTCCTTTTTCTTTTTCCTTTTTCTCTCTTTCTCTCGTTAAGGTTTGTGTTTGTTTGTTTGAGATCAAAGGAAAAAGAAAAAAAAAAAACACACGAAACAGATCAAAACCCGAGGCTAAAATTTCCTTTGACGTAAATTTCATACCGTGAGAATACCTTTTTCTAAAAAGGCTCGTCTTTCTCAAATAATAATAATAATAATAATAATATGGGGGCTAGTTATCAAGGTTTAAAATTCACACGACAGATGAGAAAACGCACCGAAAAGACGTAAAAAAAAAATTGCGTACCTGAGGTCTGTACTCCTCCTCCTCCCACACTCTCCCACTCCCACACACTCTCAGGCTCTCTTTCATCGTTTAACAAACATTTGGAAAATGAAGGTTACCGGAAACACCTTTACGACATTGGAAATTTTATGTTTTAAAGGAAAGGTTTAAAAATCGAAAACTGGGAAAAAAAAGAAAAGAACCCTCCGGGAGTTCCCGAGGGAGAAAAAAAAATAACCGTTATTTTATTGACCGAAAAACAAGATTTAACTATTAGCCGATTTCATTTGGCGACACCTCAACGGGGGGGGGAAGGGGGAGGGGCAGGGCCAGGGGCAGGGGAAATCCCGGATAATTTCCAGAATGTTAACCGAAAACGGAAATGAATTGAATGAGAAAGAGAAAGAAGGAAAAAAAAATTTTTTTTTTTTTTTTTTCCTAAACTTTTAATAAGAAAACTTTTTTTTTTCCTCCTTTCTTTCTTTTCAAACTCAAATAAAAACCTCCGACGATTTCAAAAAAAGGGAATGAAAATTTTTCTAGAACTTTCTTTCATTTTCTCTCTCACTTAATTCACAACAGGTATAAAAAATTATTATTAAGGAAAAAAGGGGAAAAAAAAAATTACCTGTGAATCCTGGAATCTTTTCCATATCCTTTCTTTAACACAGTAATAAAAATCCTTAACTGGGGATCTAATCAATCCACCGTCGGGCGACGACGACGACGACACCGCCGGCACCGCAACCGCCACCGCCGCCATTGATAAAAATTATCCTTATTTTTCTTCCTAATGAAAAAACAAACCAAAAAAAAAAAGCAAAATTATTAATTAATTATTTTCTCCACTATCATCATCATCATTATTATTAATTATTATTATTATTATTATTATTATTATTATTTTGTTCCAGTAAATGAGCGACGATTTTTTTTTTAAAAATCTTTTTGATAACAATTTTCAAACGTTAATTAAGCAATAAAATTATCATCATCATTATCATCATCATCAGTATTATCATCATCATTATCATCACTATCATTATCATCATCATCATTATTATCTCACAACAAAACAATAAAAAATCATTCGATGGCTTGAACCCAGAAAAAACAGAAAAAAACGTGAAAAAGTAAAATCTCATTTATTCTATTATTATCATCATCACCATCATAATCATTATTATTATTATTATTATTATCACTACAAAGTCTGTAAAAAAAAAAATTAATGATAATAATAATAATAATAATAATTTTTTCTTTCCGTCGGGATTTTTTTTCTTTCTTTTTATTTCCCTCCCGTCGGCATTTATCAAACGGTTCACTACTCAACTGATCGAAAATCGAAGCGATAATAATGATGATGATGATGGTGGTGGTGGTGGTTGTAGTGATGATAATAATAATAATAATAACGATGATGATGGTACGGATTGGAAAAAAAAAGAATATAAAAAGGAAAAAATTTCCTTTTTTTAAAATTTATATTTTTTCCCAATGTTTATTATGTGTCACACGTGTGTAAGTTCTCGCGATTTTCTTCCAACAATGAACTCTATCAAGAAAAAAGAAAGAAAAAAAAAGAAAAAAAGAAAAAGGAAAATTTCCTATTAAGAGACGAGAAAATCAGAGAGAAAGAGAAAGAGAGAGAAAGTGTGTGTGAGAGAGAGAGAGAGAGAAAAGAAACAAAATAAAAATGTGATCGATTTCAAAAAAAAAAAAAAAAATTGAGGAAGGGGGAGGGAAAAAAATGGCCTCGAAAAGTTCGTAGTCAGAAAACTGATTCTGCTTTTTTTTTCCTTTCCTTTTTTTTCCTTTTTTTTCCTTTCTTTCCTTTTTTTCCTTTTTTTTTTCCTTTTTTTTTGTTCTCCATAATAAAATAAAATAAATTTTCTTCTATTTTATTTTATTTTAAAGAGAGCGTACGCCGCGAATATTTCACAAACGTTTTATATTTTTTTTTTTTTTTTGTTTTTTTTTTACGTTTCGGAGAGAAAGAGAGAGAGAAGGAGAGAGAGAAAGAGAGAGAGAAAGAGAGAGAGAAAGAGAGAGAGAAAACGACGACGTCACCTTTTATAAAAATCCTTTTCAATTATGTTACGTAACAATAAAACAACAACAACAACAACAACAACAAAAAAAAGAAAATCGCGTTATGCGTTTTGTTTAAAAAAAAAAAAAAAAAAAATTATCGATGATTTATATGCAAACATTAACGATAGCAAAAAAAAAAAGAATAAAAATAAAAAAATAAATTACACGCTTTGCTCTCCTGGTTTTTTTTTTTTTTGCTTTTTTGCTTTTTGCCTTTTCGGTTACGTAACCATCATGATTTTCCCCCATTTTATCTAGAAATTTTCCTTCCACCCTTCACCCTTTCCCCTATGTTCTTTCTCTCTCCTTTTCTTATCGATTTTCTTCCACTCTCTCTCTCTCTCTCTCCCACTTTGATTTCCCTTCTTTTCCGTTTGTCCGAAACAAAAAGAAAAAAAAAATTTTTTTTACCTTTTGATTCGCCTTCTTCTTTGTTTTCTTCACGAGTCGATCATTTTTTTCATTTTTTCGATTTTAATTACTTTTCTTCCTCTCTTCCTCTCTCTCTCTCTCTCTCTTTTTTCCAAATCGGAAAATGCAATTGGGCATCAATACTTTAAAATTTTCTTTTATTAAAACAAAAACTTTCCAACCCTAAAAACGAAAAAAAAAAAATAACGTTAACCTTTATTTACATCATCATCAATAATATAAATAAAATTCAAAATGGCGTCTTTTTTTTTAATACGAATTATTTAAAACAACATGGCGGCGATTTAAAAACTATTTTGATAAATAAATAATTTTACTATTTCTTTTTTTTGTAAAAAAAAAAACACAATTAATAGTACCGTTATCATTATTATCATTGTTATTATTATTATTATTGTTGTAAATTTCAGGTTGTTTGAACAAAACGAAGAATTATTAAATCTTTTTGAAAAATTTCGTGAATTGAAAACAAAAGAGCAACAAGCGAGCAGCATGGAATTACAGGAGCACGCAATGAACGTTATGAAAACGGTTGACGAAGCCATTCGAGAACTCGATAATTTGGATGGATTTTTCATTTACCTTCATCAAGTTGGATCCTCGCATAGGAAAATTCCAGGATTTAAACCAGATTATTTTTTGGTGAGAATTTTCTTCTGTTTTCCCCCCCCCCTCTGGCGTACACCAACTCGTTCACGTTCACGTTCCCGTTCCCGTACGTTTTTCCTTTTAAACCAATTGTCTACCGAATGAACGAATCAATTATCTCTCTCTCTCTCTCTCTCTCTGTCTCCATCATGGCTGGATTTTTCAATTTAAAAAATAAAAAATCATTTTAAACGGTCGTGTCATTAGAAAAGAGACGGTTAACCGCAACCATTTTCACGCCGCAACAAAAAAAAAAAAATCAGAGTATTTACACGTCATTTTTTCCTATATTCGTTTCGACATTTTTCCATTTATGAAATCTGAAAATAAAACGTTTAATCATCATTATCATCATCATTATTATTATCATTGCAATTTTTTATTTACCTTTAGTGATAAGCATTAAATCAAAAAAAAAATGTTTTCTTTTTTCTCTCCTCCTCTTTCTCCTCCTCTTCTTCCTCTTCCTCCTCCTCCTCTTTCGAGTGAACGTAAATAAAAAAATTTCTCCAGGAATTTATTCAAATCCATTTCAACGTTCCAACATTATTATTATTATTATGATTATCATCATCATCTATTTTTTTTTGTTAAAACGATAACTCGAAAAATAAAAAATCAAAAAAGAGAAAAAAGAGAAAAAAAATTCCTTTTTTCTTTCTTTCTTCTCTTTCCAGATTCTCAATTCCAACCTTCCAGCTTCCAGCTTCCCTCCCTTCCTCCCCCCCTCCCGTTAATGAAAAAAAAAAAAAAAAAAATTTTCCACAAGAGTTAATCCATTCAAAACGAATAATAATCACGACGACGATGATGATGATGATGATGATAATAATAACAATTTAATTTTTAACGTAAATAATATCGTCGTCGTCGTCGTCGTCATCCGTCGTCGTTTAAACCCTATTATTATTATTATTATTATTATTATTGTTTTTTTTTTCCTTTTTTCGTTCCAGAAAATAGAAC